TGTTGTAGTTATCTATATAATATGATAACTTAAAATAATGCAATGTTTTTCCCTTTGCAATTTGAACACCTCTCATCTCGTGTTTTTAACACTATGCAAATTGTTTGAGAATAATTAGTTAAGACAAATCTTAATTAAGAACAGATGAACAAATATAATTAAGAGAAATAACAATGGCGGCGCTAGATATTAAAGAGAGACGAAAGAAAAAGACTAAACGCGTCTGATAGTGACGTTCTATCGCTATAACCAAATACAACAATTTGTAACTCACACGTACATAATCTCGAAATGATCCTCAAATGCAATGAATCAAAACGTATTAAGTAAGATGTAACCAAGAACAAAGTGTTCAATACAATTTTCTAGATGAAAAAATGAATAAAGCCAACTGAGTCAATTAAACGACTGCTCTGACTCGTTTTGTTACACTTTTGCCAGCTGTCTTCTTCTTATTGGCTACTCCTTTGTTAAATTATGTGTTAAACTGTTTGGTGGCAAATTAATCTTTGTTAGCAACTAGTATCATTCTCAGAGAGTTGGACTTTTAAGGAAGGTAGGTACATTTGCTATTAGTTGACACGTACACACTTAACAGTAGTTCAAACACTAGCTAGGACTCAAAAGAAACACTTCAAGTTTTTGTGTCCTATAAATAAAGATTAGAAGCAAGTCTGGTGGTGTGGACGATGATTGATGCCTAATGAAGCAGCTATAACCGTCGAATAAATAAAAATTAATATGTGTCTTCTTGAAATAAAGTTTGTTGTTGTGTCTTTGCATGCATGCTCAATTTCATATTCCTAGTTTGTGTTGCTTTGGTCATGTTTCTTGTTTGTGTCTTAAACTTTGTGTCTTTGTTTGTGCATATGTTATTAACCTAAAATAATGCAAATGTTTCCCCCTTTGCAATTTGAAGAGTTCATCTCTCGTATTTAAACATAAAGCAAATTAAACTGTTTGCGAATAATTATTAACCTTCGTCTTCTTTAACTCTGGAAGCTATGAAACTTTTAGCATTGATAGTGTACTACTAAAAAAATGTTAATGCTACTATTTGTTAGTGTAGATGACTGTTTTGCTTTTTAGTTGCTGTCTTGACATTGGCAAATAAAGATGGTTGTTTACGGCTATTTGATCTGTTGAATTTTAGGTTCCTAAAGGGCATGATGTTTAGGTGCAAGGTGATTGTAGTCAGGACTCGAGATTCTTTGGTCTTTTACCTTATGGTCTTATTTCAAGGCAGATTGCATTGGAGGGTATGTATTTATATCAAAAAAAGTGTTTATTTGCACTTTTTTGTTTGGCAATCAATATTTTCTTTAATTATGGTATCAAATGATGTGTAGGTTTGGCCATTCCAATATTTTCGACCGATTGGACCAACCACAGCTTAAAAAATATGGTTTGGCGCGGTTGGTTAGTGGCTTAATCTGGTTCTTAAGCCAACCAAATGTGTCTGGTTAGCTAGATAATGGAGAGATTGAAAGAGGAAATACCATATGAGAGATCACTATCGAATAGTTGTTGGTGATTTTCTGTTTTCGATACCTTGTATGTGCATGTCTACTAGATACTACAAGTAAATGATTCATTTTGTCTAGAGCTGATGAACTAATTGACAAGATTTTAGCATACAAATAAAGAAAGTAACCATTTATATTTCCTACATGTTAGATTATTATCTAAAATTGCTAAGTTTTCTCATCTGCAATGTCACTGCATGCGTTCATGTTCGTGGGATTGATTTATACTTTAAAAGTGAAAGGCTTTTAATTCAGATGTTTTGCTCTCAAGTTAGATTTTGGTAGTGAAACTGTCTCAAGATCATAAAGTTAATGGCATAGACGTTGTGAATTATGTTAAGCTGTTGTGATACAAGTTCTATGAGCTTAACTAATTTTTCATTTGTGTGATTAGTCTGCGTTATTGCTGCTGCTTTGTTTGTGAAAGGTCAAGGCTTAGAAATGAACAAACATCTATGTGTGTCACAAGTGATATATATTTTAACTCAGTGAATTAAAAACTACGGAAAAGAGGTTAATGACTCAGTGAATTAGTCTTTAAAAGCTAGGTGAATATTAACACCTAAGCACAATGTGTTAAACTGTTTGGTGGCCAATCTTTGTTAGTTGTTACCAACTATCATTCTCGGAGATGTGGACATGACGGTAGATACGTACATTTGCTAGTAGTTAACTGTAGTTCAAACACTACAACTCAGTTTCGTGTCCTCTCAACTCTTTTCTCTCTATAAATAAGATTAGAAGCAAGTGCATGTCTATTATATTTCAACATCACAAATCACAAAAGAAAGAAACTAAGAAGAGACGGCCATGTCAAGAGAAAATGAAGAAAAGGCATACCTCATGACCGAGTTCACAAAGCTGGAGAAGGAAAATGAGCGTCTGCGGAGGGAAGTTGAGGAGTTACTAGCAGAGATATATCATTACATAACCCTCTCAAAAGGTTGTGGCCTTGATGGCTTGTCTGAAACCGAGATTGATAAATTAATATCAGATAAACGTAAGCATCCTGTCAACGAGCCAAACCTTGTCCCAAGGGCTTCAGATGTTGCACCTGAAGGAAGGAGAAACATGAAACCATCTGATGACGTGGATGATGAGAAGAAGAAGACATATCATCAAGGAGAGAGCAGCAAGTCTAGTGGTGTGGACAATTATGCCTAATGAAGCTAAAGCCGTCGAATAAATAAAAATTAATGTGTGTCTTCTTGAAATAAAGTTTGTTGTTGTGTCTTTGCATGCATGCTTAATTTCATATTTTCTAGTCATGTTTTATGTTTGTGTCTTAAACTTTGCGTCTTTGGTTGATATGTTATTAACCTAAAATAATGCAGTGTTCTCCCTTTGCAATTTTGAAGAGGCTGCTCATCTCTCGTATTTAAAAACATAAAGCAAACTGTTTGAGAATAATTAATTAAGACAAATCTTAATTAAGACAAGATGAACAAAGATAATTAAAACAAAACATGGCGGCGATAGATACTACTAATAAACAGACACGAAAGATGACAGTTTTGCTTTTAGTTTCTGTCTTAGACATTGACAATAAAGCTGGTTGTGGCTATTTGATCTGTTCACTTTTGTTTAGGTTCCTAAAGGGCATGTGTGGGTGGAAGGTGACTATACTCAGAACTCGAGAGACTCTAGAATCTTTGGTCCTTTACCTTATGGTCTTATTCAAGGCAGAGTGCTTTGGAGGGTATGTATCTTAGATCAAAAGAGTGTTTAATTGTATCTTTATTTAGCAATCAGTCTGGTCTTTAATTTATGGTATCAAATGATTTATAGGTTTGGCCATTTCAAGATTTTGGATCGATTGGACCAACCACAACTTGAGTTATATGGTTCGGGAGTTAGCTTTTTTTTTGGTCCTTTGGCAGATGATCGAGAGAGATTGAAAGAGGGAAATACCATATGAGATCACCTATAGAATTAGTGTTGGTGATTTGCTAGTGTTTGATACCTTGTATATATGTCTATTGTAAATGATTCAATTTTTTGATTAGATGCCGTTAGCAAGATTTTAGCATATAATGAAAGAATGAGTAAACCATTTTATGTTTATTACATGTTAGATTATATATCTAAAGTTTCCAAGTTTTCTCTTGTGTACATACATTGCTTACTTTTCTCGTCTGCAATGTCACTGCGTTCATGTTCGTAAGATTGATACAAGGCTTGCTTTGCTCTCAAGTCAGATTTTGGTAGTGAAACTGTCTCAAGATCACACAAGTTAATGCATTGACTTTGTGAAGTATGTGTAAGCTGTTTGTGATAAGCTTGACTCATTTTCATTTGTGTGATTAGTCTGCGTTTGTTTGTAAAAGGTTAAGGCTTAGTAATGAACAAGCACGTATATGTGTGTTTGCGAGCTTGATTCACAAGGGATGTATATATATTTTGACTCTGTGAAAAGAGGTTAATGAGCTAGGTGAATATTAACACCTAAGCACAATTTGGTAAGTGAGTTTCATAATGTGTTTAACTGTATGGTGAGCAATCTTTGTTACCAACTATCATTCTTGGAGATTTAGACTTTTAAGGTAGGTACATTACATTTGCCACGCTTAACCGTAGTTCAAACACTACAACAACTGGTCAGAAACTTCAGTTTTTTTTTTTGTCATTATCTCTTCCTCCCAACTATCTCTCTATAAATAAGATTAGAAGCAAGTACTGCATGCCTATTATATTTCAACATCACAAAATATCAAAGAAAGAAACTAAAAAGCAACAGCCATGTCAAGAAAAAATGAGGAGGATCTAGAGTCATACCTCAAGACCGAGATCACAAAGATGGAGAAGGAACTAGACCGTATGCGGAAGGAAGGTGAGGAGTTACTAATGAAGATATCTCATCTCACGTTCCTCGAAAATCATGTTACCCATATTATTGACTTTCCTCCAAGTGTCATCAACGAGCCAAATCTTGGGGATGATGATATCCCAAAGACTTCGGATGTTGCACCTGAAGGAAGGGGAAACATGAAGCCATCTGATGACGTGGATGATGAGATGAATAAGACCCATCATCAAGGAGAGAGCAGCAAGTCTTTATAGATGCCTAATGAAGCAGCTATAACCGTCGAATAAATAAAAAGTTAATGTGTCTCTTCTTGAAATAAAGTTTGTTGTTGTTGTTGTGTCTTTGCATGCATGCTCCATTTCATATTTTCTAGTCATGTGTTTATGTTTGTGTCTTAAACTTTGCGTCTTTGGTTGCATATGTTATTAACTTAAATAATGCAAATGTTTTCCCCTTTGTAATTTTGAAGAGCTCATCTCTCGTATTTAAAAACATAAAGCAAACTGTTTGAGAATAATTAATTAAAGACAAATCTTAATTAAGACAAGATAAACAAAGATAATTAAAACAAAACATGGCGGCTATAGATACTTTTAAACAGACACGAATGAAATACAAAGACTAAACGCGTTTTAAGAAGACTAGTTCAACCTTCTTCTTCATGAGCGTCTTCTCTCCTCTAAACCTTTGACTCTCCCCCCCATTAAATTAAATTAAACATTGTCTCTACGGTTTATGCAACTGTAGTGCTATTAAACAACCCTTCTTCCGTTCTATCATCCTTTACTCCTCAGATCTCTCTGTTTTTTTCTTCTCTCTGTCTTGGGGGATGATTCTTGCATCCTTCTCTTATCAATTCACAAACTTTTCATTACCCTTTTGATCTTTCTTTCTGTTTGCTTGTTTCCCCTTTTTAAATCTCATGGTCGAATCTATTCAATACACTAGAGAGTAGTAAGGTTTATCAGTTTTCATCTGTTTAGAAATCTGAAAGCTTTGGTTTTTGATCCTTGAAGGTTGTCTTTAGCCATAGAAAGTGTTTGACTTTTTCATGACCTTAGTAATGAGATTAGATTGTTTCATCAGATCTTGATTCTGGAGATTGAGATTTAAGACAAAAGTGTTTTGTTTTGGATGGGGAATACTTGTGTTGGACCAAGCAGAAATGGTTTCTTGCAATCTGTTTCCGCTGCAATGTGGCGGCCACGAGATGCAGATGATTCTGTTTCTCTTAGCAATGGTGATACTGCAAGTGAAGCTGTTTCAGGAGAGCTTCGTTCTCCATCTTCATCTGATCACCAAGTTCTGAATAAACCTCCTGAACAGGTCACTATGCCAAAGCCAGGTGAGACTACTAACCTCGAGACAAAGACCAAATCCGATGTAGTAGAAGTTCAGCCTGATAGTCCAAAACCAGAGACCATACCGGTGGAGACAAAAGCTGATACTACTCCAGCTAAGCCTAAGAAGCCTAAACAGATAAAGAGAGTGACCAGTGCAGGCCTCAGGACTGAGTCAGTGTTACAGAGGAAAACTGAAAACTTCAAGGAGTTCTATTCATTAGGAAGGAAGCTAGGACAAGGGCAATTTGGGACGACTTTTCTATGTGTGGAGAAGTCTACAGGGAAGGAGTTTGCCTGCAAGTCAATTGCTAAGAGGAAGCTGTTAGCCGATGAGGACGTGGAAGATGTGAGAAGGGAGATTCAGATAATGCATCACTTGGCTGGTCACCCTAATGTCATTTCCATCAAAGGAGCTTATGAGGATGTTGTGGCTGTGCATCTTGTGATGGAGTGTTGTGCAGGTGGAGAGCTTTTCGATAGGATTATTCAACGTGGTCACTACACTGAGAGGAAAGCTGCTGAGTTGACTAGAACTATAGTTGGAGTTGTGGAGGCTTGTCACTCTCTTGGTGTTATGCATAGAGATCTCAAGCCTGAGAATTTTCTGTTTGTTAGTAAACATGAAGATTCTCTATTGAAGACTATTGATTTTGGACTCTCTATGTTCTTTAAGCCAGGTTTGGATTCACTTGTTACTGATTAAGATTCAGTAAATGATTTTGTAATTATCTTCCTTCCTCTTTGCAGACGATGTTTTTACAGATGTTGTTGGTAGTCCATATTATGTAGCTCCTGAAGTTCTTAGAAAGCAGTATGGTCCTGAAGCTGATGTATGGAGTGCTGGAGTGATTGTCTACATTTTGTTAAGTGGAGTTCCTCCTTTCTGGGCTGGTAAGAAGTGTATATATATATAATGATTAAGATAATCTGTTACTTGTCTTAACTTAGGCTCTGAATAGAATCTTTGTTTCTTTGAACATTTAGAGTCAGAACAAGGTATTTTCGAGCAGGTTCTCCACGGTGATCTTGACTTTTCATCTGATCCCTGGCCGAGCATATCTGAAAGTGCAAAAGACTTAGTGAGGAAAATGCTTGTAAGGGATCCCAAGAAAAGACTAACTGCACACCAAGTATTATGTAAGTTGTTTCCATCTCAAACCTTTCTGTTCATTCCATAGTGCATAGATTTCACTGGTCATACATGAAGTCATGCATAGAATGTGTTCTCACTGCCATTTAGTAATGAAGTTTCCAGATATATTGTCATGTTGAGTGCATTTTTGCCATCGTTCTCTTTCTCATGAAGTTCATCTTGTGAACAGGTCATCCATGGGTACAAGTGGACGGTGTGGCTCCTGACAAACCTCTGGATTCTGCTGTTCTGAGCCGTATGAAGCAATTTTCAGCGATGAACAAGTTCAAGAAGATGGCTCTTAGAGTAAGTGGATTCCCTTCTTCTTGTTATGTGGAAACAAAGAGACAATGCAGATGAAGTTTACCTCTTTTTTTATGCATTCTTGTAGGTTATTGCTGAGAGCTTATCTGAAGAAGAAATAGCAGGCTTGAAAGAAATGTTTAATATGATAGATGCCGACCAAAGCGGTCAGATAACTTTCGAAGAACTCAAGGCAGGACTAAAACGAGTAGGTGCTAATCTCAAAGAGTCAGAGATTCTCGACTTGATGCAAGCTGTAAGTTACAACTCCTCTTGCTAGTTTGTTATTCTGGTTATGTGTTTGCTTGGGTTTGTTATTTATCTGGTATGTATGTCAAATGTGTGATGATGTTATTCAGGCTGATGTGGACAACAGTGGAACAATAGATTACAAAGAGTTCATAGCAGCAACATTGCATCTAAACAAAATAGAGAGAGAGGACCATCTGTTTGCAGCCTTTACATACTTTGACAAAGATGGGAGTGGTTATATAACACCTGACGAGCTTCAACAAGCTTGTGAGGAGTTTGGTGTTGAAGATGTCCGCATAGAAGAAATGATGCGTGATGTTGATCAAGACAATGTTAGCTCCTATTATAACTTTTCATTTACTCAGGTTGATGACTTTGGTTTGAATGATGGGAATGTTGTAACATTTTTGAATTCTTGTGTTATTGCAGGACGGGAGAATAGACTATAACGAGTTTGTGGCGATGATGCAAAAGGGAAGCATCACAGGAGGTCCAGTGAAGATGGGACTAGAGAAAAGCTTTAGTATTGCTCTTAAACTCTAGTTTCTGTCTATCTTATAAATTACAAAACCAAAGTCAAAGACAAAAGAGTAATACAAAATTTGATTGTATTGAAAACAAAGCCAAGATTCTCTAGTGGATTCGGTCTTGGTCTAAATTTTCCAGAAACATCTTATTTTATGGAATTGAGGTATAATATTGAATTAAATCTTCACCACATGTTGGACATTGAGCCTGATTGTGGTTATGAACGGTGGCAGACCAGATCCAGGGATAAGCACAGCTTTTATGGAATATGTGTCCACAATGCAATGCAACGACTAGAGAAGTGTTGTGATCTTGTTGGAATGTGTGAGCTTGTTGACACATGGTACAAGTAGTACAAGGTATGCTAAGATTAATAGACTCACCTGGACGATCCCATCTACTAGCTTGCCACCCTCCTCCTGCTGTTTGATCTCTCATTGTATAAACTATGCCAAAGGCGTGGTCACCTTTGACCCCAAAAGGTGCTGATGACTCTAGAGCATTCATATCTTGAGCATAGCCAGAGAAGACATTAGCAACGTCTAACCAATTCTCATCAGTCATGGAGTTAACCTCGTAGTTTAACCAGGGAGGTGGACATTTATAGATAGCGTCTTGGAGTTGGGAGCTTGAGTTGATAGCTTGTCGAGGTAAGTTGCTTTCGTGGATGTAAGTCACCGCTGGTTTAACGACCTGGTCGACGAGGATGTCAGGTCGTCCCCTTTGGACGTAAAGAGTTCTGGTGAACTCTCTGCCCTTAACTTTGAAGTATGGTTCTGTCACCGCCTTAGTGCTGATGATTTTCTTTGGATAAACCTCAACGATCTTTGATTTCTCACCCCTCTCCATGTTTTCTTCTTTTTTTCCCTTAACCTAAAGCTAGTTTTCTTGAGACAGAGAGATGTGTTTGAAGGAATGATTATGTATTCAATATATATAGTTGCTGCTTGTCTTTAAGAGCATGATTATCCCTAAACCCTTTATAGGGTCTCTTAATTATTTTTTAATAGTTTTTGAAGTGTAAAAGTGAATTAAGAGACTTAGAAAGAAATTTGAACTTTTAGGTGTTTTATTGCAAGTTTCTTAATTATGGGTTCTTAAAAAAAAATTGTATGAGTAAACTTTTTCTTTTCAACTCATATGCAGCAAACATAGNAGAGCATGATTATCCCTAAACCCTTTATAGGGTCTCTTAATTATTTTTTAATAGTTTTTGAAGTGTAAAAGTGAATTAAGAGACTTAGAAAGAAATTTGAACTTTTAGGTGTTTTATTGCAAGTTTCTTAATTATGGGTTCTTAAAAAAAAATTGTATGAGTAAACTTTTTCTTTTCAACTCATATGCAGCAAACATAGGACCGATGAAGTAGTTTAAGCTTCAATGTCAAGTTTCCTACTACAGCTATAAATTTCAAAGCTAAAATTCGGTTCTAAAGAGCACACAAGACAATGTGGCTGCATGTAGCCATGTACACAATCACAATACCTGAACGTTTAGTTTCTTCTGATTCTCAAGTTCTTCATCAAGCTTCTGCACACTGCATCATTTGAAACTATTGGGAACAATCAAACAAATTTGTTTCCCACTTTTGGAAGTAACGTAAAGAACAATCTCGAAAATGGTGGTTTATCTTAGTTATTACCTCTGCTCCAAGAAATGAACCTGAGAAGATAGAGCAGCCTCCCTTGCAATCTGTTAATTTTCACAACTTAAAAGGCTCTTATTCCTATCTTTAGCTCTGGCAATTTGACACAAAAAAACCCCCAAAAATCAAATTCAAACGAATCATCCAACATCCAATGTATTTCCACCTACGACATATACTCACCAACAGTAGCAGCAAATAATAATCAAGTTACTCAATTAACGACTAACTTTTTCCAAGTTAAAAAGTACAAAGTTCTAAGAACTTTTAGTTACAAAACAGCAGCAAGCAAGTACCTTATCATGGTTCCTATGGACTTCACTTGCATCTGAACCGAAAGACAACTCCCGGAACCAATCTGCTGTTTCTGCAAAGATTAGATACAAGAGACAAGTCGAAATTTTCCATTAACAAAACCGACTTGTGAAAATTCAACCCATAAGAGGGGAAAAAAAAAGTCTTATCATCAGTGGACACCATTCAATTCAAAAGACACAACCTATGCAAGATGCTGACAATACAATCCCCTCGTTTCTTCATCAAATCAATAGTTCCAAACAAACAATTCAGTGATACAAATCAATAGCTAAGTCAAGCTCTAAGATAACTTCCAATAACAAAAAAAAAAGATATATTTGAGTGAAAATTGAACATACCCAGAAGAGGGAACGTCGCTCTGCGTCTTGAGCTTTCCCTCGGCTAATGGTCCCTCACACCTCGCCGCGACGGAGGCAGCCTCATATAGCGAACGAAGATGAGAAGATCCAGGGCTAGCTGGTTAGAAGAAGAAGGAGGAGAGGCGGCGAGTTTGGGAGAGCTTTCGAAAACACGGTGGGTAACGAGATGAGGATCGAAGCTACTTCCGTTAGTGATGACGACGGTCGATGGTGAAGTAGGAGAAACCGACTGATTTCAATCGGGAGAGAGATAGAGATGAGAGAGAGGAGGAGACTTTGACGCGTGTCCCATAAGAGACGTGCTTTCCCTTCTCCTGATTAAGCGACGTTGTTTCAAATAAAAGGTAATTTTCACTTTTTTCTAAATCAAATTAATGCTAAGAGACGGGGTAGTATACCCCGATAATGATGCTCTNTAGGAGAAACCGACTGATTTCAATCGGGAGAGAGATAGAGATGAGAGAGAGGAGGAGACTTTGACGCGTGTCCCATAAGAGACGTGCTTTCCCTTCTCCTGATTAAGCGACGTTGTTTCAAATAAAAGGTAATTTTCACTTTTTTCTAAATCAAATTAATGCTAAGAGACGGGGTAGTATACCCCGATAATGATGCTCTAAGACTTTAATTAGGTTAAATGTTGGGAGACCTTGAAGAGATCTTGCAATATTCCACGGCCCAGATCTGTTTCAAAACTACTTATTTTCCAATTTCAGTTATGTTAATTTCCAGGGTTTATGTTTCCTCTCTTGTTTATTCCGTGCGCCAGAAGTTTAGATATAAACCCCTAATTCTTCTTCTTTCCTTTTGACCACAAGTTTCTTGAATAAAAGTATAATTCTTCTTCCTTCCTTGCATCACAAGTTTCACTAGCTTCTAAGAGCATGTTGCATCCCATAGAAAAAAGAGGCGCTTAAGGGAAAAAGTGGGGTGGGAGAAAAATAAAACCCACACCACAAACTCCCGTATAAACGTTTTTTTCGGTTGGTGCTTGGCCTTTTTACGGATTCCACAACACGTGGCGACCCACAATTGATTCTTTTATTATTATTATTTTTTTAAATCCGAAAAATAAAAATAAAAAATTAAAACCCCTAATGGGATGCCGGGATAAACATGCTCTAAGTCTCTTCTTTCTTTTGGTTCAGTAGAGGCTTTTGCCAAAAACTCACAAGACTCAGACAACGACCATGGAAACTGCAACAACTCTCAATGGTTTTATACAATAAGTCAGGCATGAGAATCTTGAAATCTTGAAATTAATACTTGAAGACTTTCTTCATATCATAGTGGTCGTTATCTGTGAGATCATTTCTTGATTTTGATCGTGGAAAAAGGAAAAGTCCACTCTGTAACAGTAGGTCTAGCCAAATACAATTATTTTAGTTCATACTATTCGTAGCTCACATGAAAAAACAAGCTCCACGTACGTAAGCGTGTGCCTGCCCAAACTTCTGACGTTTTGGTTCAACTTGTCAGTATTATTATTTCATAACTATATAAGCACAAACCGAACATCCAATTGTTTATGTCTGAATTAGATAATTAAAGCCCTTACCGAATCTAGCTGAGCTCGAATTCGATTATAAGTAATGTGTCAGATAACTAAATCGATCACTGAAAATAATAGCCACCTAAGTTCCTAACCATCTCAACACGTATTCATTCCATTATCATTACACCACGCAGGAATTTATGAAAGAATTCTTACAAAAATAGAAAAGCACTATGGAAATTTTTAATTCTCAAGACTGTAGAGCTATTTTGTAGTTTTTTCCCTTAATGGGATTTAGATAGTTTAATTTATTTCGTGAATACCTAACATACTTTTTTATTTGGAGGAGAAATATAGAAGTGGGTCTCACAATCAACTATTTTCTCCAGTAATTAATTAATGTAAAGCGTGCGTATGTTGTTGTGGACATACAAAAAAGTGTGCATTTCTAGATTAAGACGTCTTGATTTGTAATATAATTAAAAAAAATATTTTTCAGTATTGAGTTTGAATAAATTGATTGAATTGTCTATTTCAAAGCTGTGTCTCTATCCCTTTAGTTTCACAATTTTAGTCCACAAAACGTGATCATCATTATTAACTGTGATCATAAAGTTCATTTACTCATGAGTGGGTCTAATTGTTCAAGAGCAAATAAGTGGTTCATGTTTAAAGTATTCTGTTTATGTTTCTATAACAAAACACTTTTCTGTTTTCTCCTAAACAAAATTGTGAGTGCAGACTCCAGTGTGATTATTTTTAAAACTTCACAATTTTAAATTTATAAAAGGGAGCTCGGATAATAATAATAATAAAAACACAACAAATTTTTGCATGAATAAATACATTAAATAACACAAAACTATTAGTATATAAACATACAAACTCAACAATTATCAAATCCTCTAAAACCTAGCTCAAGTTCGTTGAATGTACGTGTTCAGTAGATAAATCTCAAAACACCCAAGTCAGAAAGACACATCACATTGGATTGATGAGTTGTATTTTTCAGATTGGATTGGATTCTACTTTTTATGTGCCATTACAAAAGAAGTAAATAAGAAAAACGATCATGAGAGCACGAGTTAGTGTGGGGACTATTAACTTTAAGTTTAATGACATATGGTTAGGAGAATTAGCAAGTTAGGACCTCATGAATTAGGACATACCTAACTTTTATCCTTGCATTTTAAACACCTTAAAGTCATCATTCATGAAAATTAAATAATCATATCTTCACATGGATTGGAGAAAATTAGCAAATTAAATATTATGGACGCATGTTCTGTTTTCCACAGTTTATACTAATATACATCCAATATTTAGTTAGGTTTGGTGTGTCAGATGTTACATACGATATGTCACATAACTTAGTTCAAGGTTTGAATCTTAAAAATTTCGTGGCTATGTCCAAAAACGAATCCACGAAAACAATACTTTTAAACTAAACGCACCAGTATGACTGATTCGAGCGATGCTTTTAAAAACACGATCATGAACCATGACCACGTTAACTAACTGAACAAGACGGTAACATCATCTTCAAAACAGACAAACAATGTGCCGCATGCAAAACATAAATAAGTTTCTGACATGTTCTTTTTCGGCGTCTGTCTTTTCAAGGTCACGTAGCATTCGTATTTATGAGGCATAAAACCAAATTTTGCAAACACACACACACACACATGACATGCGTATATGATTTAGCTTCTCTTTTCCTAGTCCTATAAATGATTATTCCGTGACCAAAAAGATTACGTTAATAACAAGTGGGTTAAACAAAAAGAAAGCAAAGATGGATCATATGATAAGACAGATCAATTTCATATGATGGGTCGAAATTATTTGTAAAAATAATTGGTGTGAGATGCATATCAAAGTCAACTGTGAGCTGTTTGTGAACAAGATTTAAAGTGTCTCCTAGAGTCTAATGTAAACATGCACCCTGCGACTGGCTACAAATTAAAGAAGCGAAACATATGCTGAAAAGTTAACAAAGAAAATCTATTGAAAATTAAGAAAAATTTGAGCAATACTTTTCTTAAAAAAATAATTTCCGAACCTAAAAAACCATTAAGGGAAGAAAATCCATATTCAATTACTGAATAAAAGAATACCACAGATAATATCAAAACTGAAATTACTCAGTCATTCAATTATGGTAGGTAATTTTTCTGGATAATGTTCATAGTTGGGGATAATCTATACTAAAATCTTCAGTTTCTATAGGGGTGATTCACAAATGATTTCAAATAGTTCTGTCCAAATTATTTATAAAATATAAATGTTTTTCATATTTTATAATGAATTTTTAAAATTACAGATTTTTTCTTCTTTTTCCTTGGTTTTTGGCTATAAAAACAGTAAATCTAAAGTTTTTTTGCTTTAGAAAATTTATATGTAATTATTAAATAGTTATAACCTACAGCTAAAATCCTACATCAATCACAATAAAAAATCTACAATCTTAATTCTACAGGAAAACTATATAAAATTACAATTATTTCCAATAAATCTATTTGCATTTTTCTACAATTGTATTTAAAATTTTAAATACTCCTCCTCTCTGTGTATTATAAATCATTAGATACTAAAAATTAATAAAACCAAGAAGACTTTCTGCATCTCCAACGTGGATACAAAGACGTATACTGTTGTATATCCTCTGTTTCACCTGCTCTCAAAAATGTCTTAATACAAAATACTATTAAATAAATAATATATTTGTCAACTTTAACCATCATTATAATTGAAATAAATTTATAATATTTTGAGCATTTTATATTGCCGTCCTTCTCTTTACCAGAGTTGACTCTTAAGAAAAACAAGGGCAGATTCTTCTATATGAGTTCAAAACTTTGCTTCTGATCAAAACCGCGTCCACCAAATCCTCATCGGATTCTCCTTCTCTTCCTCAAATCTCTCAATTCCCTAACCCAAAAACCTTATCCTCAAAAATTCAACACTTTATTCCACCATGGTTGTGAAAATGAAACAGATCATGCGGTGGCCACCGTGGCCTCCTCTCTTCGCCGTGAAATTCGACGTGATCATCGTCGTTCACAGAATCGAGGGTTTGAATTCTGAAGCCGATTGCGATGGTAACAATAACAACCAACAGTGCGTTGGCGGGACAACCACCACCGCGACGAGGAAGAGACCCGTCGTGGAGATCAAATGGAGAGGACCCAGAGCGGTGACTCTAAAACGCTCCGTCGAGCGGAGTTACACAGAAGAAGGTGGGTTTCGCGGCGACGGCGTGGTGGAGTGGAACGAGGAGTTTAAAAGGGTTTGTGAGTTCTCGGTTTATAAGGAAGGAGAGTTTCTTCCTTGGCTCGTTTCCTTCACCGTCTTCAATGTTAGTCTCTAAGTCTCTCTTTATCTTCTTTAAAGTCGTTGACTTTGATTATGATCAATCATAAAGATGTTAACTTTGCTTATGTACTCTGTTTTTAGCCCTTTTATACTCTGTTTTTAGCCCTAATATACTCTGTTTTTAGCCTTAATTGATAGGAATCAAGTAAAAAAAATTAGGGATTTTGATTCGTTTTGGAGTTTTAGTAGAAGTTTTTGATGTCAATCTTTGGTTTATGTAGGGATTGAATCAAGGAACGAAGGAGAAAGTTCGTAGCTTTGGACAAGCATCACTGAACATTGCAGAGTACTTTTCATTGATGAAAGAAGATGATATTCAAGTCAAAGTGCCTCTTAAGATGCGTGGCTCTTCTTCTTCATTACCACCATGCCTTCATGTGCGTGTCAATGATTTGTCCTTATTAGATTGTTATATGAATTTTTCATTTCTCTAATTGCAAACTTATGTTTACTTACAGGTTTCTCTTCAGTTTTCCTCTAAAGAAACATTACCTGAAAGACAGAGATCTGCTCTTCCTGTTCTGTGGTCTCCTCTCTCCGCAGAAGCCGAGAAGGCCGAGTCTGTTGTCAAAGTAGGCCTTAGAAAGATGAAAACATTCAACCACTGTATGTTAATTCGCCAGGCTTCTGAGAAAGAGACTAGTAAAAAAGATGGCGGAAGCAGCGGAAGTGAAACCAGAAGCCCTCAGAGAAACCTTGATTCTGAGTCTTCTTATCCTTTTGACACAGATTCTCAAGATGAAGGAGATGCTGCTGCGGATGAATCAGAAGAGAACAATGCAATTAGTGTGGTTGATCCTGTTGTTACTTACAAAACACTAAGATACGCTAATTGGGCTAGAGGATCTTTTCATGCTGGTACAAACCCTGAAGATGATGATTTGATATATTACAGCCACCGCAGCCCATCAGCGGAGAGAGAGGACGAGGTTTTGAATGATGCAGTGAGCTCTGAGCAGGCGGATGGACAGATGTTAAAGAAGAGAATGTTGTCCTGGAAGAAGAGAAAGCTCAGTTTTAGATCTTCTAAACAGAAAGGAGAACCACTTCTTAAAAAGGACTGCCTTGAAGAAGGAGGTGATGATATTGATTATGACCGTAGACAGCTTAGCTCATCTGATGAGTCTACCTCTGATGTAAGCAGTCTCCCTAACTTAAAACCCTTTATAGTTAATGGTTTTACAATATCGTTTTCTTAACTCTTGATTGGTTCTCTTGCAGTGGTATAGGTCTGATGATTCAGTAATGAAACCATTGTCCGAGTTTGGAGACGATGACTTTGTTGTTGGTAGTTGGGAGACGAGAGATATTATAAGCCGTGATGGGCTGATGAAACTCAAGGCTCAAGTGTTTCTAGCTTCAATAGATCAAAGAAGCGAGAGGGCTGCTGGAGAAAGCGCATGCACAGCTTTGGTTGCAGTGATGGCGCACTGGTTAGGATCAAACAGAGACATAATCCCAACGAGGTCAGAGTTTGACAGTCTTATCAGAGAAGGATCATCCGAGTGGAGGAACTTGTGTGAAAACGAGGAGTACAGGGAACGGTTTCCTGACAAACATTTTGATCTGGAGACTGTTCTTCAGGCTAAGATCAGACCTATCTGTGTAGTCCAAGAGAAATCATTCGTCGGGTTTTTCCATCCAGAGAAGTCAGAGGAGGAAGAAGAAGAAGAAGAAGAAGCTAAAGAAGATGCGAGTCTAGACTTTCTGAGAGATGTGATGTCCTTTGATAGTATCTGGGAAGAGATCATGAAGCACGAACCGGAAGAGTCAGGAAGCGAGCCTGTCATCTACATTGTGAGCTGGAATGATCATTTCTTCGTCCTTCTCGTTGACCACGATGCTTATTACATCATAGACACACTTGGAGAGAGGCTTTACGAGGGTTGCAACCAAGCATATGTATTGAAGTTTGACAAAGATGCAGAGATCCGGAGATTGAAGCCAGAGGTTAAGGAAAAGGATGCCGACCAAGGAAACAAGAAAGCAGAAGGTAAGAACAAGTCAGAGCAAATGGAGAGATCAACAGAAACAGAAGAACAAGAAGAAGAAGTAGTGTGTAGTAGAGGTAAAGAGTCATGCAGAGAGTATATAAAGAGCTTTCTAGCTGCGATTCCAATACAACAAGTTAAAGCTGATATGAAGAAAGGACTGGTTTCCTCTTTGCATCACCGTCTTCAAATCGAGCTTCACTTCACAAGGCACCTCCAGCAGCAAGAACCAAATCTGCTGCTGCTTGAATCGTCTGCAAGTGAAGCAAATGTGTCTGAAGCAGATGTGGGTTGGTCACTGGTGAGTCAATACAGCAATAGTGGTGGGTTTGGTTGTGAAATGACTGAGCTTGTGGGAGTTGAAGTTTGAGAGACATTAAAGTGTATAGCTGTGGTGTTTTATAACTCCTTTAATTTCCTTTTGACTTTTTTTTTGTTGTGTGGATAAAGTTTGGTGTTTGATAATGTCAGAGAAAGACTTTTCTTCCTCTCCTACAATAATGTGTACTGAGGAAACTTACTCCAGAGAATATTGTTATTATTATTATTCAATAAAATCAGTGATTAACTTATAATGTTATTGAATCTCACAATAAATTGATTTCAATATATGTGAAAAATACTAATTAAAAAAATTGAAGGTGCTGTTTTTCTGATTATGTTGGTAATGTTTAATTAATTAGATCAAAGAATAGAGAAAAAGGTAAAATAAAAAAAAAATAACTGTTTATAATGAAATCGATAAATACAGAAGTCTGTTAGGTAAAAGCTGTCTGGAGCTAATGTTGTTGTGTTTCTAGAAGTCTTTTTTTTTGTGTCTGTATCTATCATCATAATCAGATTGATTTTGGAGGAAGAAGATGAAGAGAATATTTGGTGCGAAGAACAACAAAGAGCCTCCACCGTCCATCCAGGATGCTTCTGATCGGGTTTTTCTTCTGCTTCTCTCTTTTCGATTCGTTTGCTTTTTTTTAGGAATGTACCGATTGAGATTTGTTTGGAGATTTAGCTGGAGATTTAGAGCTATGCGGAACTAGTTGAATCTTTAAAATGTATTTTTTTTCGTGTTGTTGTCAGATCAATAAAAGAGGAGAGTCAGTGGAAGATAAGGTAAAGAGGCTTGATGCTGAGCTTTGCAAATACAAAGACCAGATCAAAAGGACAAGACCTGGTCCTGCTCAAGAAGCTATCAAAGCTCGTGCTATGAGAGTTCTCAAGCAAAAGAAAATGTAATAGAGAGAGAGAGAAGAGAAGATCCTTGTTTCATGCTTCTCTCTCAGTGGTTTCATGTTTTTTTTTTTGTTGTTGTTGATTAGGTATGAAGGGCAACGTGACATGCTTTACAATCAGACTTTCAACCTTGATCAAGTTTCTTTTGCTGCTGAAGGCCTCAAAGATGCTCAACAAACTGTAAATTCTCACTCTCACCAATATCTTTCTTCTTATACATATTTGAACCCATAATTGATGTACATGGAAACTTGCAGATGACAGCATTGAAATCTGCCAACAAGGAGTTGAAAGGAATGATGAAAACCGTCAAGATTCAGGATATAGATGTACGTTTTTTGTTTATTCAGCCTCTCTAGTTACTTTGTTCCTAGTAAGTACTATAGTTAGTAACTATTCTTCTTTTAACTATGGGTTATTCACAACAGAATTTACAAGATGAGATGATGGACTTGATGGATGTGAGTTCCGAAATTCAAGACTCACTGGGTAGGAGCTACAATGTTCCTGATGACATTGACGAAGATGACCTCATGGGTGGTAAGAGTCCTTGACACATTTTTGCTCAGATCAGTAGAAAGTTACTGACATTTTGTGTTGTTGTGAATGAGCCAGAGCTTGATGCTCTTGAAGCTGACATGGGAAACGAGACTGAAGCAGACGGAGTGCCTTCCTATCTCCAACCCGACAAGGAACCGGATCTTGATGAAGAACTTGACTTGCCTCCTCCACCACCAGGAAGGACAACAACAGGACCTCAACCTGAACGATCTGCTCAAGTGAGTTCTCTTTTTTATAAAAAAAAAATTATTCGCTGCTATTATTGCTTAAAATCCATTTTTCAACTGTTATGTTATGATGAAGAAACATTGATTTATATATGATTGTCTAATGAGAGAGATTTTATTGATGAAACACAAGGCTGAGGATGAATGGGGATTACCGGCGGTGCCACGTGCTTCACTTCGGGGATAGATATACCGTTTCCACATAACCTGCTTGTGTGCATTCATCTCCAAACGATTTCACTTGTGAAAGCTACTTCTAATGTTTCTATAAATTCCTTACTCAAATGTGATATAATACGTTTTGTGCATAACAGTCGTCGTCTCATAAACCTTGGATTCTCGATTTGGTTATGGTTAGTTATGTATGATATATGTTTCTCCCAACATGCACTTCTTATCAAGCTATTGATGCATCACAGAGTCAATTTTTGGTTTATGACATAGTGGAGTTAATGCCTGATGTTTTCTCCTCACTGCTTTTTTTTTTCCTTTTTTGGTCAAAATTTTCTCCTCACAGAAACTCAATTCCAGCATAATGAGCATACGAAAGGATGATAACAAACAAAAACCTAACACAATGGATTTAAAGAGATTGTACATACTGTTAAGAAGAATGGATTTAAAGAGGTTGTACATACTGCTGTTAAGAACAAGTGATTGTACATACTAAAGGACATAAATAAGTGGCATTCTTAAGCATTGCCATCGAACTGTAAATATTGGTTAGTTTTAAAGGTGGATCTCTTTTGTAGACTAGACAGACAGATAAAGATATTTTAGTTTTATAAAGAAAGTTGCCAGAAGCAGTGATTGGCTCAAGGAGTAGGTTATTGATCTCTCCCTCATTGGCCTTGGCCTTTGTAGTTATGATCTATGTTCTTAGAACATCCGCAACGGGAATCCTTAGGGGAAAGTCTTTAAAGAAAAAGAAATTAAAAAATCAGTATCCTATAAAAAATTAATGATTTGATTCTTAAAATTCCTAAATAGGGACTGTTTCTTAACGAATCCTTATACTATTTGTGGATCCCCTGACAACCCACGAATGGTCATTCTTGTGTTTTTTAATTCCAAAATATTCTTACCAAATCTGAAATATCATTTTTCTTAAAGACTCCTATGAGTCTCACGGTTGCGGATGCTCTTATGACATACAAGTAGTACTTATCAGTCTTGGTTAAGATACATCAAAATTAGTTAATGGCTAATTTTCCCTCCTCACAGCTAGCTATTCATCTCAAATCCAGCATAATGAGCTACACTGCTATTATGATTACAACATTACAATCTCGAAATTATAACATTTAACTTTTAAGTACCAATCGATTATTGAATGTATATAAGTCACACTCAAACTTAACCAGTTTGTTTGGATTAGTTCAAATTCAGGTTTCGGGAATTCCTAGCTTTCAAAATAAGGCCATAAGTGTTTATATAGCCCGCCCATCCATGAGATAGGCCCATAAGTTTTGTGTGTGTGCCTATAAATAGATCAAAATTGCAAAAAACCCCTAAACGGCTAATAGATTTCAAAGCTGCAGGAAACCCTAAATTTAGGAGGATCAAATTCGTTGGGAGATGGCAGGAAGAGGTGGGTAGTTTTGGATAGAAAAATGATTTGTGATGATAGTAATGGTTGTTGTGTTTGGGTAGGTGGTGCGTTGGCTCGAGCGCCGAGGGCGGGAGTGTGGTGGGACCTCAACACGTGTACGATTCCCGACGGTATTGACCCTAGTAGTATCCGTGGGTGTATAGAATCTGCGGTGCACAAGGCGATTGGTTGTCGTTCTTCTATAGTCATCATGTATGCGATTGGCAACCTAGAATACATCCCTGCTGACCTCTTGGACAAGATCGCTTTATCTGGAATCACTCTTATTCACGCCCCCTGCGGTAAAATATAAATAAATTAAAATTAAAATTAAAATCCATCCATCCTCGGTAATTTAATTTAATTTAATTTCTACTTACTTAGGTGGGAAAGACTTAATCCAATTTCTAGACCAATGGTGTGGTCAGCACCCGAGTGGTTACATAATGGTGATATCCGGTGATTATACCATGGTCAATCCTCATCGTTATAAGTGGATGAAAGAGTGCACTAAGTTTTGTGCATATCCAAAAGGTTATTGGCCAACAACCCCGCCCCCTCCTAGCCAAGTGTTTGCCAAAGAGTTTGTCTGGGAAACTTTAGTGACTGACAACCCATCATGTGCCATTGAGGGCGCAGATGAACCTCTCTGCATTTGCGACATATGCGATGCTGTTTACAATACATGTAACGAATTCACCACTCATCTCAAGAGTGAACAACACAGAGAGACGGTTAGCATCCTCCTCCAGCTTCTTTTTTCATTTTTTTTGGTAAAACAATTGTCATATGTGTATCTCTTCTTCAGTTGTTTGGAATTGTGCCCGTGGACTTCGACTTGGCCACCATGTCCGAGTGGCCTAGATATTTTTGCCCAGTTTGCAATTATCCTGCGTACGACGAATACAACTTGCTCCTCCATAACGCAAGTGAAGAACATACTCGCAAGGTATGCAGCTTTGCCTCTCTCTCTCTCTTAGCTTGTGCAACTCTGTTGATCCCTTTTTTTTGCTTTGTTTTCAAAGCTGGCTGAGAAAGAGCCTCAAGCAGAGGATTGCCAGAGCAGGAAGAGAAATCCACTAGAGGATCTCTCTTACGAGAGAAACAAGAAGCAAGCTATCATCTCTTGATGAACGAACGAGGAGGCATTCAACAAGAGTTGTGCGTGCGTGCATGCATGGCTCTTTTGTGTTAAGACTTTACTAAATAATACTTATTATGTCTGGTGAATGGTTTGTTCTTCTACCTCTTACTTAGGAAACTATTAAGGGGCAGAGTTGTGATTTATAGGAGCAATTCTAACCTTGCTCTGGTTTAGAGCTAGAAAATGACAACTTATTTTCACTATTAGTAGCAAGTGAAACACACAAACACGTAAAAAAAAATATATAAAAATGAACAAATAAACACTCTCCGATAGAATTTAATCCAATGCCAGTGTTTGGACTAGAGATGTATGCTTCTTTTGCTGGACTGTTGGAAGAGCTTGTCGCAGCCGAGGTAAATGGAGTATCTTTTTCACCCATAGAAGAAAAAGTAAAAAGTAATTTTTATTTCTTCTTTTTACTGTTATAGCAAAGAGCTTACCAATAGAAGCACTTGTCAGCTCAATGGATGCCGTGACAAAAAAAAAAGAAAAAAAAAAAAACACAACACGGTACTTGAAAAGTCCCGCCATGCATGCTAATGTTTACAAGATTGATTTGTGCATTGCTTTCGTTGATATTAGAATTTGAAAAACACAAGTTGGCTGGCTAAAATGGTATTTTGATAGGGTCAGTGGGGGCTCTCTTTGGATTGCAAAGATCTGAATTAAGCTTTTGCTTTATTTATACAGGCTGTCTGTGTAACTAACAAGTTTATTTTATCATGGCAAACATTAAAACCAGTTATGGCTTTCTTGGTGGACGATTCAGTTTTCATTGGCGATAATCAGTCGGCTTTGGTACCAGGCTACTAAACACGTGCTTAAAACAACACACACACATCCCACCGCTCACGTGCTTAGTTAATAATGTCTAATTTTCCCTCCTCAAAGCTACTCATCTCAAATCCAGCATAATGAGCTACACTGCTATGATTACAGCATTAGAATCTCGAAATTATAACATTTTTTTTTTGTGTGCTAAAAGCAGACTAGGTCCAATACTCTCGACACAGAGAGTTGGATACTTTTTTTTTATACAAATCGGAAAGAGATTTGTCCTTTTCCTCAAAACACTCAAGCTACTTATTCTTCTTGTGAGAGTGGGGGGGTTCTTCTTGTCTTTAGTTGAGATTGAGTTTGGTCAGATCCAGCAAGTTCCAGTCCAAGTGTGATGAACCTGTCCTTGGACCTATACTTGCACCCGCAGAATAAGACCTGGCCAGCCTGTTATTGTTGTTGTTGTTGCTCCCAAAGTTTCTCAATCTGGAGTTCAATCTCTGAGCTTCCTTTTTTAGTAACTGGTATTCACCTACATAGGGAATATTATGTACAAGAAGAAGAATCAGTAACTCGAGATCTCAAGCTCTGATTCAGTCAGACACTCCTTGAATGTTTGATTTATCTATTACCTTCTCTTATGAGCTTTTCCTGCTTTAGTATCGTCATCTGCTGCTTCATTTGGCTATTCTCCAAGGACAGTGTTGCACGTGTCTGAAGAAGTGAAGCCACTCTCACTGATAAATCCGCTTCCACTGCCTGCAAACCGATATTGCTACTGGTTACTATCAGGTTTTAGTGCAAGATATTTTACATGGACATCCAACTACAGAGATCTAACATACAGCATCCTATTTTTGGACAGATAACTACTGTATGACCCACAGACAAAACAAGCAACACGGTCCAGAGCACACCAGTTGGTGGTTTTAGAAAGAACAGAAACTCATACCTGTAGCGTGGATACCCTCCTCTCAAGTTCAGCAATGTACTGGAGCTTACGAACTCTTGACCGCTGTCCTGGGTTCCTGGCACAAGAATCAGGAAAAGAATGAACAATGACGCAACAAGACAATGGACAAACACCTGAGTTTGAACATGCTAAGAAGAGCTCCCTTATGCACATAAACACGCATACAAACCAAATGTCATCTACACATTTGGCAATCTAGCCAAGACAAACCTATCTTCAACTACATATCTCCTTTTTCACTTACAAACTTAAAACCAAAGTACCCTTTCCTTCTATCTGATCTAGATCTAAAACTAGATGCAGAGGTATCACGTTAGAGCTCAGGGACTAAAACTAGATTCGCCCACATATAAACTGATAAAGGAGAGCTTGTCAATTTTTCTACAATAAAGTAATTATGGTTAATCTTCTCTCACCTTTTTGCATTTGGTACATCCATAGAACGACAAGCATCTTCTCCCACAGGTGGACAACTGATCCCTTTCACAGTATCACTTAAGTTCTGAGGAGCTTTCTGAGAACCATACTCCGAGAAGGCAGAAGCAATAGGGTTATTAGAGAAGCTTGAATTATTCCTTGCTCTAGGCGAGTTGGGACCATACACACAAGCTGACTCCAACTCCCCACAAGCTTCAGAAGTCAAACTTTCTTCATCTTCGCTTTGATTAAAACCAGCAAAGTCCGCTGAGATGTCTCCCAACAGCACAACTGAGTCGCTAGCTGAGCGGCGCAGAGGAGTAGGACCTCCTCCTCCATCAGTTTTGTCACGCAGCAGCTCATCAAGCCAAGCTGGTTGTTCCTCGAGCGTGGAATCTTGAGTGGAAGACTTGTGATGGCCAATGTATGATTCAATGGGTGAAGAAGAAGAGTAGAATGTATCTGCATACGGATTCAAAGAAAGCTTCTTTGGAATAGGGCAACGAGGAGGAAGCTGAGCTGGCCTTGACATGATTTCCCTAAGATGTCAACAAATTTACTTAGTTGAGCTTTAAATACTAAAGTTTAGAGCTTTAAAACTCTATACAAAAGAAAACACACAGTAAACCAAGTTTAGAGCTTTAAACCCTAAAAGTTTTCTTCTCAATTATCAAACATAAACCTCAATCTAAGAAAAAAAATCATTACTTTAGTAAAGATAAACTAAGATCCCGACAACAAGTCTTGTAATAACCCCACACGACAAAGAAAACAAAAGACAAAAAAAAAAGAACTTAAAAGACGAAGAAGAACATCGAAGCAATGAAACAGGAACCAGCAGAGAGAGTCATTACAACCTTAAACTAAAAAAAAAAAACGCATTGAAAATCAAAACCAGAAATTTCAATTAAAAAACCCTTTAAATCTGTGAACTTTGAATCGAATAATCAGACAAGAGTCATAACAATCAAACAGAGGAAGCTATAACTCTTGAATCATCGGAAAAGTTTCAAACTTTACCTCCGGTGAAAATATCTCCGGCGAAGAAAGTGACGGAAGAACAATGTCGGAGTAAAAAAGAGACTGTAGAGGAAGGAAAGATATTAAATAGCGTGAAAGCACCAATCGTCTCTCTCTCTCTCTCTCTCTCTTTATCTCTGCAAAAGAAAAGGAAAAGAGAGAATTGATTCTATTGGCTTTAGCTCACAGCTGCGTGTGCTGTGTTATAAATAAATGTATAAAAACGTGTTGTAAATACAACAGATAGAAAGAGAAAGGAACAAACAAAGGGCACCCCTATTGGCTAGAGACGGAGACGTACGGACGGCTCTTTGGGCCCTTTTGCTATATATATTTTGTTTTGGGTCAAGGGTCACTGACCTGAACACACGGACCCATCTTTTTTTTTTTGAGTTGGCACATTGATTATGATATTTGATCAGATTTTGGCACTTACATTAAATTTTTCCAATTTTTCTTTTGGTTTTCAAAATTAAAACAAACATATATTCTGAATCAGCAGTCTAGAACGTTCGGGAAGAGAACAGCCTGTAAGAGAAGATTCAGTAAGCATATACTCTTTTTTTTTAATGATTGTCATTATATGGTTACTTTAATCACTAAGGTTGTTGATTTCTTTTGGTACATTGTTTAAGTTGTAACCATGGTGTGTAACCGTGTATATACATGTCATTGTGAATGTAGAAAGAGTGGATCCACCAAACCGTTTTGTAACCTGAAAAAAAAATTAAAAAAATAATTACATTACGTTCTAGGTTTTGTCTACTGTTAACAAAGTGACAGAGCATGTACAATTGTTGTTAACATAAAGAAATAAAAATTAATCAAGATCTTCTTTTATGCCTTTTTCAGTAATTGTTCAAAGTGTTTAAACTAAAGTTTATCAAACAGACTTGACCAATAAAACAGCTGTGCTTCACAGCTTTAAGTATTTGATAATATCGAGTACCTGTTTCGTTTACGCAAAGTTGAGATTTACTTGTGTGTATTATATTATTAATCCTGGTGGGAAGAATGTAAACCATATGAAAATAAATAATAGAATGTCATCAGATTAACATTTAGTTTATGTCAAGACAAGGACATGTCAAACAAAAAAAATAAAGTATGCATAAAGAAGCTGTATTTTTCTTATAATTAAAGTGAATGGGTGCGGAAAAGAACCCACCAAGCTCCAATAATTTTAACGTGTACTTTATTCTAGATATGGAAATCCAATTATTCCTCATCTTTTGCTTGAAATCTAGAAAGTTGCGCATTCACCTCATCTGGTACATTTTTGAAGTCCATTTACACATTACACACAGTACAAACAATATGTGGCCTGAGTTAGCTTAATAATAACAGAAAAATGCTCAGAAATAACAACACTTTGCAAAGCAACAGAGAATAGCATGCATGGGAGATAACTCGCATCCCATTTGAAAACAAAACATTTAATTCTGTCCATCCCCATAGCCGGTTTTGGGCATATCCACATGAAACATAAGAATAAGGTCCTAAAATTTTAATATATACTAGATTTTGACCCGCGCAACCGCGCGGGTGTTTGTTTTCGTTTATAGTTAGTTAGATTGTGCGGGTGTTTATTTCGTTTATAGTTAGTTATATAAACATTTTGTTTTCACTTGTAAATTGGTATATATTTTAGTAATCACATATTTACGGTATGTATAGTAAATGTTTTTCAAACATAATAATATTATATAATAAGTGTTTTAATCAAAAAGTTTGTTTCAAAATTTCTATATTATACATGTTTTTCAGACATATGTTTGTTTCTTCTTCTATATTTTATTGTTTGTTAGATTAGTATTTTATTTTTCGATAAATTAATATAAATAGAACTTGATTAAATATTAGTATACTTTAATTTGCAAAGATAATATAAACTTCGAAGAAATTTTTGCTAAAAACTAAACTTATAGCTTCATAAATTAATATTATAAAGAATTTTATTAAAAAGAAATTTTTAAACAATTTCTTTTTTTTAAACAATATAATTTTAAAAATTTACATCGAAATAAAATTTTCTCATATATATACCGTGTAAATTTTGTTAGGGTATATAAATATTCCATATTACTAATATGTGATTTTTGTTAATATATTGTGGATGTATTTAATTATTATTGACATATTTTCTTATAAATAATAGAAGATTCCTAAATTTATATCTATTGACATATTTTGCGTGACTAAGTTGGAAGATGTGGGGTAATTTACCAAAACCAAATTGTTAAGCGTATCTTTGTTATTATAGATATGATTTTTCATAAGATATAATTAATAATGATAAGATTATTAGAGAGTTAATGTAACATAACTTTCTAGTAATAGTCCATTTTTAAAAAAATCACACATGAAACCAAGTCATAACTTCTGTTTTAATATATAAGATATAAACATAGAGTTTCCAAATTTATCCATATGCAGAAACGAAAATTTATTAATTTTATTTGCGAAATCATTTATAACCTCCTAATGTTTATCTATTATGAATCAGAATCATTATCCAACAGCTTGGTTCACCTTGAAACATGTTGAGAACTTGATGTAAACCAAACGGTCCAAGTCTCGTACATTCTCTTGATGCGAACAGTGGTAAGCTACAAGAATCATGCAAATTTATAAATATATTGTTCTAGGTTTGAATAATCAACGGTCAAAAACAAAACACATATGGACAAGATTGTGCCACGTGGAAGCTACTCCACCATGATCCATGCAAATATCACTCCTTTTCCCTCGCTTCAATTTCGTAATCCATTGTCTAATTTTTTCAACATTTTTTTTTTTTTGCAAAGGAAGATCTCTGCAAGATCCATGGGGAAACACAGTAATTCCAATCCAGGTTTGTTTTAAATATACAGACAACTGCATCGTTTTCTACGATCTGATTATTGATGGTTTGTCTATGAGGAGGTCTCTTCACCTTCTTCTTAAACGATCTGATGATTGTTGATGAATGATCCTTGTTTCTCGCTAGATAAAAGTGGAGCTGTGACGGATCCGGTGTGGGAATGCGAGGGAAAAGGAGCGTGTGAGTTGAAACAGAGACGATTTGCTGATACCATCATGCCTCATATCCTTAACTTGTGAGTTACTCCATCTGTTTCTTTTTTTTTTTTGTTCAAAAAAAACTTAAAAATTCATACAGATCATAATTTTTTTTTTAAATATCAAACATAGCAATGTATGAATTTTTTAGTTTTTTGAGATTTAAAGCATTCTTTGAACAAAAAGATATTTATCTTTACCTCAGCACCTTGCTCTTCCATGGTCTGTGTAGCCGGTTTAGGTTTTAGTTCAACGGTTTTGAGCTGTGAAATAAAAATTGGATTGTGGCTTCTTAATGCTATAATGTGGGGTTTTGTTTTAGGTACGGAGCTTGCGCAAAAGCCAAGGATTTTGACATGTATGCACCAAATGCTTCGTTCGAGGACCCTTTAACACATGCTCAAGGGTATGTGGCTGGCTCATTCAACTTAAATACACTTGCAGATTATTTAATCTATCAATCTCGACACTTGCCTTTTCAGGGTAAAACAAATCAAATCAGCATTTTATTCACTCTCCAAGGTATATAATAATCTCACTTCAATGTTTGCTACGATGCTGATGATGGAAAGTGTCTCCATAAAAAAGACTCAATCTCATATCATATATATTTCCCTAACAGGTGTTTGGTGAGTCGAAAATAATTGAATATCATATTCAGGAAAGTGATATCGCACCGGGGAAGAAAGAGGTTAGAATCCTCGTCTTTTAGCCTCGTTGCTACACTATTACTATGATTACCTTTTCATTATCTAAACAACGGATACAAACTTATGGAACAAAAAACAGATACTAATTGACAACAAACAACACTACAAGCTCCTTGGAAAGAACATTCACATGATCTCTCTCATTAAACTCTATGTCGAGAACGACAAGATTGTCCGACACGAAGACTGGTAATAATTTACAACTATCTATCCTAAACAGCTAATTTCACAGATTTTATAATCATTTAATATTTAACTGCTTCCTTGTTGGTGAACAATGTATTAGGTGGGACAAGAAACCTCTGAGGAACAGAGACACTGTTAGCTTCCCGTTAGTAGGGCGGGCAATGGAGATGGGTCGAAGAGGCTTGATGCTAGCGACTCATGCCATGATGGGTTTTGGTAAAGATCCTGGCTCGCATTGAGTTATAAAAAGAACACAGTATATTGTAGTATCTAAGATTCTTTAAAACAATCACTGAGTTTGAGGAACTCCTTATGTTTTGTAAGATGTTAAAGGTATTGTTGGTTCTTTAGTCTCTTTCTCTACTTCTCGTTGTTCCTTGCGCCTCAAGCTCTAAGACCATGATTAACCCCGAGTTCTCAAGACGAGATTCTTAGCGGAAATTATAAAATTGTTTCTTAACTTTTAATTAAAAACGCTAAGAACGGTTCTTAAATTCTTTATTTAAGAACCGGTTCTTAACGTTTTTAGTTAAAAGTTAGACACAGTTTCTTAGTTTCCGCTAAGAACCCGTCTTAAGAACTAGGGTTAATCATGCTCTATGATCCATGTGTTTCAGCCAATGAATGCATCTACATCCTTGTGTGGTTGAACCATACTAGTTTTGGTTTGGTTTGTTTTCAACTATATCCGAATAAACCGATGTAGGGCCGGATCAAAGAACCTTCCTCAAATGGGCCTTCTCTGTCAAATCTGTGTCCAAAAGTTTTGTCTCGATCTAGACGTAATAATATACAGATGATAGATTTTGTATCAAACAAGTTGGCCCTTGTTTTATACTTTATATTAAAGAACACTAGACCTTGACCCGTGCGACCGCACGGGTATTAATTTTATTTTTTTAATTTTTATATTAGATGAAATTTTTGTAAAAATTAATTCTATTACATTAAGCTTTTTTTTGTGTGTTAACAATTTATTGTATCAAAAATATTGGGTATCATACAAACAAATCTAACATGTAGACGATATATTAAAAATATTTTTCAGTTAAAGATACATCAAATCTTGAGAAGTAAGAGTTAATATGATATACAAAAAATGATAAATTAGTTATAACATTTCTAAGAAAAAGCCTGATGTTCAAATTATATAAATTTTTTAATATATAAAACATTTGGATTGAAATTTTTTAAATAAAAAAATGAAGTATCAATTAAATGGTTACAAATTACTCATGGGTTTAATTTTAACAGAAGAATATCGAAAATTTTGTTGTTTGATCTGCGCCAGTGTTTGTTTTTATATATTTTATAAGTGATAATATATATTTCTAAATTTACCCGTTTAAATAATTGTTTAAAAAGACATTTGAAACACATAATTTTATAGTTTATATTGAGTAATTTTATTTTATAAACTATCATTGTGTCATACTTATTTTAAAAATATGACCCGTATATCTGCAAAATTTTTTTTTTTTATGGATCAAAATTTTATGATAATGTATAACTAAATTTTTGTATCTACTATTTAAAATATATGGTCCTATATATTTCTATTTTTTCAACTTTTATTATTCTGAATTTACCTTGAACTATTATTTATATAAAAATATATATAACATAATATGTTTATATTAATCTATGTATTATATATTATATAAATGTTTCTTTTTGTGACTTTTATTTTAGTTATTACTTATAAATAATAAAAATATAATTATATATCTTTGAAAACAATATTGTTCATTATCTATTTAAAGATATGTAGATAATTAATAAGAAAAAAAATCCTAAAAGATAAGTTAATTAATATTGGAATTAATTATTATGTATATGGAATTAGTAAAACAATTTCTATAGAATTTATTTATTTAATTACGAAAGGTATAAATGAAAATAAATATTTTCATTAATTATTGTTGCCATAATTATTTTTAGCTAAAATTTGATTTTGGAAATGCATTAATTAAAGTGAAAAGACAAAAAATCCTCTAAAGTAAGGTAATTAATAATTTCAGTGGCATGCTATTGTAAATAAAAATGAAAACTAAGGGATATTTTATATGGGTACTTCTCTTTTAATAATATAGATGATGATAAGATAGTGATTTTGTAAGTAGAAACAAAAACAATATGTTCTCTGAAAGAAACTGGTGTTAGTTGTATGATGTTGGCTTTAAAAAAAGAAATATCTCTCTTTTATGCAAAGTTGTGCTGTTATGTTAGTATGTTACAGATGTTTGATAATAGGCTTCTATGATCTTGTTACAAAAGAGCTTCTATAATCCAAATCCCCATTTTTCCAATATCATATACAGGTTACTATACTCTAAATAATCCCCATTTTTTTTACCTATTTCGTATAGAAAACATATATCTGAGGACCACACCCTTGAGATGTATTTCTTACAAGAAAAAAAACACCAAATTTATGAAATTGATGAAGGAAATGATACAAATCATAATACTTCAAAAAAATTATAAAATAATGATCAAAAGAAAGGAAGAAACATTAAAGGTCGACGTCTAGGTTGGTCCCGGAATTAAATGTAGAGCAATAAATGGAAAGAGATAAGAGAGAAGTAGGTCTATGATGTTTGGGGGAGGGGATTCACAGATCACAGGGTGTGTGTGTATGTGACCACACCACCATTGCTCAACTCATGTTACTCTTCATTTCACAATACAAAATACAAATCTCAACTCTCGTTTGTTTCATTTTCAAACTCACTGTAGACCAACATTCTCTTTTAATGCAACCCTCGTAAATATATTTTTCTTTTTGTATTTCATCAGTTTGAAATTTTTGATTTAAAATAAAGATCTCATATATAAAAATAATATTTATGAGTAAATATTTCTACTCTTTTTACAGCGGTAAAGTTTCAGAGTCGAAGTCTTTAAGTCTTCATGAATTATAGCATAATTAACCTCTTCCCAAACCTCAGTAGAGTCCAAGGAGCAAGACTCCTCACTCTTTTGGAGGGATCCTGGCGATGCTATTAAGTCAATATATGTTTTGTATTTATATTATAACTACTTTTTAAGATTTTGACTCGCTCATGGGTCATAATTAGCACACAGTAAACAGCTTTAGTAATTAGTAGTATGCATGAGTGATGATACTTTTTAAGTGTCAAAATCAAATGCAGATAGCACGTCAAATTTCATAATTAAAAATATCCATATATATGCACTTTTCTAATAAATCATGTTCTTTTTAGAAATAGTAACTTGAAGTACCATGTAACCGATTTACAAATTTACTCACCGAATAAATAGAACTAAATGATGACTTTTACATACTTGCACGATTCTCTTTAAACTCTTAACCTTTCACTCTTCATCCAGTAAAAACTTGTAGTTTCTATCTATTAACAAACATTTAACGAAACCGGGATTAGTATATACTGTATGAAAAAATACAAAAGATTATAGTATGAAACAAAATGATGATTCATTCGGTATTTCATTGGTAAGTAAAGTACTACGTTGTAAGAGATATAAACCTCAGAAAGACTAGAAAAATTACTAATTAGACCAAACTATTAACACATATGAGATAGAATAAGCTAGTGTTTGTAGAATAACTACGTAGGTTCAATTATTAGAGATTTATTTTTGTCTAAAACTCGCAAATTAATTATAACACAGCAGCAACAAATTAAAGGGCACGCGAGATAATAATATTTAAGTTAACAAAAGGCTCTAACTATATGTTTTTAAATCTAACGACTAGTTACTTTTTTTACAGAGTCCAAAAAGTTAATCCGGTAAAAAAAACAAGACTAAAATTAAAAACAAGCCATAAAACTATTTTAACAGCTCCGTCTCTCTTCTTCTTCTTCTTCTTCTTCGATCTCCGTCTGACCTTTAAACGACGAACATAACGGCGACGTCGGCAAAGAAGATACCGCCGTAGAGTAACGAGCCGAATCCGACACCGAAGATCCCCCGGCGGCGGAATCAGGTAATCCCGAGAGAAGATCGACGAACGCGCTAACGATCACGCCGTGACTCCTCTTCCCGTTCATCCTCAAGTACCACGCGAGCATCGACTCCAAGCTCCGCCAATCCTTAGCCAGCTCTCCGTGACTCCTCACCATCTCCTCCATCGATCGCCGGAAATCTCCGTACGGATCGTCCGATTCCATCGCCACGGGGACGCTTATCTCCTCGATCGGCGGCGTGTAGATACAATCTAAATCCTCCTTTGATTTCAAATCACATTCCGATTTTGAATTCGATTTGATCTCTTTGAGGATCGAACTCGTGACTCGCGGATCGAAGAATAACCGCTCCGATCTAACGACTCCTCTAACAACCATCTCTAACGACTCGGCATCCAAGTCTTGATCCGACTCGGTTGAGTGACTCGCCGTCTCGGAGGAGTTAGTGAACCACGACTCGGGAGTCTCGGCGTCTAACGCATCTCCTCCGCTTCCTACTCCGTTGTTGTGGTCGAAGAAGACGGAGTTGACGGTTTTGATCATGTCGTCTCCGACTCGGAAGGAGAGAGTTTTGGCATTGTAGCAGAGAGGAACGGCTAGTAATCCACCGGAGACGCCTCTGAAGAGAGAAGAGAGCTTCATCATCTTCTTCTTCCCCATTTTTTTTTTTTTTTTTGAACTTAGCTTTTTTTGGAGAGTTTGCAATTAATGGAAGAGGGAAGAGTTTGGAGGGAGATTGATATAAGGGGAGAGAGCTGGTGGGTCAGCTCATGTGTCTATTTAATTTTTTTCTGTTATTATTCTTTTTTGTTTAATATATTATATATGTTGATTCTCTTTTTATAAAAAAAACTGTCATAAGTCTTAAATAATTGATCAAATGTGATCAAAATAATTAATAGTTCATTTCGGTTCATTTTAGTTCTCGTTTTAAGTTTATACATTCAAATTAAAAATATTTAATTTTTATAATATTTTAAAAATAAAAATAATATTATCTATACATTTAATTATATTTCAACTAATACAAAATAACATATACAATTAATAAATTTTATATTAAAATTATAAGAGAATAAAATTTTATTTAACAATGACGGATAAATTAAATATTAGTATATCATTTTCTCACGTAATCTAATATTAAAGAACCATAATTTATAGATTTTATAAACGTATTTTACTAGTTTTAGAACATTCAGTAACGTGTGGTGAACCAACCCATTTCACGTATAATTCATCTAACACACATTATTAGCTCATTTTGGTTGTTGGAGAGGTGAAGTTGAAGTAACTAAAAAATACTACTATACCATACCAACACGATAATGGCTTTATCTGAATTTGAATTTAAATTTGATAAGGTTAATATTTATAAGTTAGTAACACATGAGAAGCATTCAATCTAGTTGAAGACAAGATAAATTAAATGTTAGTCCCGAGCCAATGGCAAAGCACTGTGCAGAACACAACGCATTTAAAACGATTGCTTACAAGAAAATGTTGCAGAAAACAAATCCCAATATATAAAAATAGTATTATATATACTGTGTAAAAGGTTGATTGACGGTACTACATTCTTGTCCATTGGCTCGTCATGTCAAATCTTCTGATCGGTAATTATATCTCTCTACTTACCACTCTAGGATGATATTAATACTTGAGTTTTGTTGTAGGTTTCTTTAATTTTAAATGTATTTAACTATACAAATTTTAGATTTCACCTTTCTAAAAACGGAGTCGTAGAAGTTGTAAAAAACTGCAGTTTTGACTTTTGACTTTTCCATGAGCTATGGTGCGTTATTGACAGACTCTAAGAGCACCCACATTGGTGTATCCCCAAAGTGAATCCTTAAGTATATTAAATTATTTTTTTTTTTGTTTTTGAATAGTTAAGGACCCTAATTCAATTTGTATGTCCATTGGTGTTTTCCATTCCGGAATCCTTAGGAATAAAATAATATTTAATTTTCGAAAATATAAGAATAAAATTTTATTTATAGAATGATTAAATATGAAAATACAACAATGATTAAATATGAATAACTATGCTCTACTATATTCTGTGATTCTTTAATTATGTGATTGTGTGATTTGTATGTTATTATTTGCTTGGATAATGTGATTTGTATTAACGTATGTTGAAGTAAAAGAACGAGCAATAATTGGTAGGGAGATAATATCCAAGCAAAAGACAAAGAAAAAATCAATATAGTTTTGTCCAAACTCATGCCATGTCACCAAGGATCAACCTAAAAAAATCCTTAGCAAAGGATTGATCCTTGGTGTTTACCATTTTTTTATTAATATTTTAGCAAAAATTGCATAGGTATTAGTGGTAAGGATTGTTTAAATCCTCCGATGTGGGTGGTCTAACCTCTCTTCTACAAATATTCACGGTCAACATGTTACATTTGTGAATTACCATATAAATACACTTAGGTATTGTGCATACATAAAAATATTTGAGCTTCAAAGATGAGTTTATCTTATTGGTCGCATTATATTAGATGGGCAGTAATTATGTTAAAGTTTTTTGTAAAAGTATGATTCATTAATGTTGTGCATGAATGTAAGGGCGACGACAGTGTCCTTGAAGAATCAATAGTGTACAGTTTCAGAGATATATAAACTGAAAGTAGTAAAAGATTTAGACAGAGCCAATGTGATGTTCAAACCCATAGTTGTGAAATAAAGACATCAAGTGTTTAGGTACATATCTAACTTTATTTACCTGCACATTCATCATTTTGTCTTTTGCATTTTTTTTGTTCTGATTTCCATGTAATTTGCGTAAGATATTGGATAAAACTTGTTTGGGATAAATATGGGAAAATAAACAAAACGAGAGAGAACAGGAGGGTGCAAAACTCATGTGAGGAATTAAATAGGGCACCGTTGAATCACGCAGATATTAATTGTGTATTTTCTTCTGTTAGATCTCTATGGAAATAAATTTACAAATTAGATTCTCCCTTACTTCAAGTACATATTAGAGTATTATTCACATTTTCGACAGTAATTACTTACTGTATCTGATTTAATGGTTTTTTGGCTTGTTCCGTTTGATTTGTTCTGTTGAATATCAAAAGTTTATACAAAATATTTGCATAACACACGAAATAATAAACTATTTGCAGTTTAAAAATTAATTCTGTAATATGAGATAAATGGAAAACTCATTTTATTTCAGATTCAAAATTTCGGAAATGTTTAGCCACAAATTTAAATCCCCTCTACTATTTATACTGCTGCGAAAAAAAACTTATTTCAATACTTTTACTTAAATTTATGAACTGCCCAGTCTATAATTTGATGGAAAACAGAAAAAAAAAATGAACATCTTGGACAAGCCTCTCCGTTTGCTAAAGACCGAATTTTTATATAAACAGTCCCAATATTTTTAACAGTGAAAAGAGTGGTAGTAAATGCCAAGCACAGTTGTAAGAAATTTTGGAAGTAACTTCTCAACAACTACAACGGTGATTGAAAATATATATGTAATACCCATTGTGAGGGGTAAAACTCACTTTCTAATTTAGGTTAGGTTAAGATTGGGGAGAAGACAATCGTGGGCTGAATCCCTTAAGAACTTAGAAAATGAATTATGATTGTATTGATGTTTTTGGTAAAGAGATGATTACAGATGATTAATAAGATGATTCTGATGATTACAAAGAATTATGAGAACGTTTTGTGAACTAAACATG